ATCCAAATCTTCCATGTGATGGATCACTTGTGAAAATGGATCGTTATAAACAAAAATTTGGTGAAGAATTTATTAAACAAAGATTACCACAAATGATTGAAACAGGTAAAAAAGAAGGAATTAATTTTTCATTTGGAGGTAAAGTTGGATCAACATTTGATTCTCATCGTCTTCTTTATTATGTTAAACAACAAGAAAATGGTGAAAAAAAACAAAATGATTTAATAAATATTTTATTTCGTGCTTATTTTGAACAAGAACAAGATTTATCTGATCATCAAGTTTTAATAAAAGCAGCTGAACAAATTGGATTTGATTCAAATAAAATCAAAGAATTTCTTCAATCTGATCAATATAAAAAAGAAGTTCAACAAGAAATAAATCGTAGTCAACAACAAGGTATATCTGGTGTACCACATTTTCGTATTAATGATCGTATTGAACTTAGTGGAGCTCAAGATCCACAAGAATTTATTCAAGCTTTTAGAAAAGTTGGCCTTCATATTTAAATAAAAAACAACTAATTTATATTTTTATTCCTGATTTTCTTTATTTATTTTTTTTTTCTTCACAGATTTCCTAGTGAAATTAATGATTTTTTTTTAATATCGTTTGTTTTCGTATAAATGACACTTTAAATGTTTATTTTTCTGTATAATTAAGTAGATAAAAATGTTTTAATAACGAAAATTAAGTTGTCTTGGTGTCATATATTGCCGTACAACATCCAATGTAATTTCTTTTCGTCGTTCTTGATGTTGACCTACTAATGTTTGTAAAACTTCAATTAAGATTTTTTTTAATTCACCAGTTAATAATTTTCCAGATGAATAATCCTTTTAAAATAAAATTAATAAATAGAACAGAAAAAAAAAATAAAATAAAAGATCTTACTTGTCGAATTTGTTCAAGTCTTTCATCATCATCCATAAAAAATCGAAGATATTGAAAAGATACATCAACATCACAATCACCACCTTTAGCTCGATGTTCTTCTATAGAATCTTTTCCTCCACTAAATGCATGTTTATTGATCTATAGATTTAAAAAAAAAATAATATTTAATTTTTTAATATTTTTTTACAAAAATATAATTTACTTTTGTTTTAATATCTTTTGCTGAATCAGTTAGAAAAATTGATGAATTTGTATCAGATGCAGACATTTTAGATTTTGAACCTTGAAGTGCAGGAAAAAATGTTGAATGAATTAATGATGGTTTTGGAAAATTCAAACGTGGTGCAACATCACGTGTCATTCGAAAATATGGATCCTGTTTTTTTTTTAAAGAATAATAATTGATTATTTATATAAACACAAACAGAAAAACAAATTCTAAGTAACCTGATCAATAGCACATGGAATAAGACAAGGATATTCATGTTTAAGTTTTTCACCAAAAATAAATGGAAATGATGAACTAAGAGAAGGTGCTGCTTGAATAGCAGGAAAAGCTATTTTTCCAATACAATCACTTTCAGTAAAACCAAATATTCCTATATTAGTCAAAAAAAAAGACAAAAAATATTTAATTCAATGATTCTATTTGAATTTAACCTTTAACTTGATTGAATGTAACATTTTTTTGAATACGACAAATATTACGATAGAAATTTGGACATTGACTATTTTAATAAAAGAAATATATATTTAATAAATAATTGAAGAAAAATAATTAACTTACGCCATAAAATCAAAATCAGAAAAAATAAATGTTTTTGTTACATCAAATCCACATGCAATTATATCTTTAGCATTTTCATATGCATATTTATTTGCTTCTTCAACTGTTATATCTTTCCAGAGAAATTTTTCATCATCAGTCATTTGTATTACCAAGGGAACATCAAAGGCATCTTGTAACCATCTAAAAATTATTATTGATAGTTTTTTTTTTAAATATTTTTTATCTTTAGAAAAATATTCTTTTGTTCTTTTTTTTTTTACTTTGTCATTATAAATGGAATGAGATGACCAAGATGCATTGCTTCCGATGATGGTCCACGACCCGTATATAAGAAAAATGGTTTTTTCTGTTCGTATGCTGTAAGAATTATTTCAAGATCTCTACAAAAAAAACAACAAAAAGCTTATTATTTATTTAAATTGATTTTTTTTTCTGAATGAACCTGTGTGAAAAGAAAATTCCTCGTCGAATAAAATGATGGACGGGTTTTTTAATGATTGATTCAATACGTGTTATTAAATCAGGAGAGATCTTTGATGAACCAAATCGACCTAAATAAAGAAATCAAAAAAATATTTAATAAACAATATTGAATAATAACATACGAATAAGTTTATCATAATCGATTCCAGTGTCGGAATGACCTATTACTTCCCATGGAGTAACTTTATCCTCAACTTCATCGATGGTTTTTTGGATTGCTTCTTCTGCTACTGGAAATGACATTCTGAAATAAATGATAACATTACATCAAAACATCAATTTTTTTATAATCATTCAATTGCATCAGATTATAGCCCTGACACATGAAGAAACGTCAGGCTCTTGCAACAGATTCTTTGTTCTATGGCATTTTCTATTGATACAACAATAAACCAATCAAATCAACGCGAGACGTTGCTTGCTTCTCTATTTTGTTTGTCTATAGTCAATTGTCAGAGAAGAGCATTTTTTGCTAGTGAAACTTACAAAATATCATGTATTTATCTTATCTTCAGCTCAGTGAAATTGAGTAGATCATTAAGCTTTATTATTCATTTTCGATAGATACCACTAAATGCCTGATGTATGTTCAGCTTTAGAAAAAAAGTCAAATCTATCGAGATGTTTCGACTCAGTCAAATATTCATACTGAAAGTCCTTGGTAATTTCTAAAATTTCACAATATTTACTGATAATTCTTATAAAACAAAAGTAAATTCAATAAAAAATGATGACATTTTCTCAAAAACTCATAGGAAACTTCTAAGTGAATCATGAAACCACTCAGTCATTAGAAAAGTATTTTCATCTGATTTGAATAATGATCATGCTTCCAATAGGAAATTTTTCACTATTTTCAGAAACCTCGACCTATTTAGAGAAGTTTCAGAAATTGCTAGGACATTTCAGTAAATGCATGAATTACTCTATTTATTTCGCATAGATATCAACATAGCGTCATTGGAAAAAACAAGAACCTACTCTCTAAAACATGAATAATTTTAAAAAATTATTAAATTAAGAAATTTTCTACACATCCAAAGGAAACCTCTTCTTAATAAACAAGTTGATTGACGCGAACATAGGAAAAATATTTCATAATTCCTCTATTCACTAAACGTTTCGAAACTTCCTGGTAATAACTAAAATTAGTAATATTGTGGAGAGTAAAGTGTGATTCTCCAAAGGAAAATGCACTCATATTCATCTAGAATATATACATGGTAATTTTCGGATCTATCTAAGATTGATAGCAATTTTCACAGTAACTATTGAAATTTGGTCTATGATTTGGGTGAAATATTTTCGTTATCTACTATTTGCATAAATTTCTAAATATGATACCTTTTTGAACGTTTAGATTTTCTGAACATAGTTGGAAATTTCTGTTTTTTTTTGGACCGCTGATTATTGACATTATCTGGAAATTGCTCAGTGGTATTTAAGAAACGGTTCGAAATTTGTTGTACTGTACAAGCAAACACTGAAATTTACTTCTTTTGTTTTGATAACTTTTAAATACTTCCTCAATACACGAGTATTTTCTAGCTGATGGTTTCGATTTAGTTAAGGCTGCCCTTTCCTTACCAAGAACTTGAGTTTTCTAAAAAAGAGAAGACATATTAAGATAAACAAATGCTGATGATCCCTAACGTATCTACTTTTCAAACTCATGCGAATGAGTTCCATTTTCAAAAGTAAAAGATAATGCAATGAGGACCCATTATAACAGTCAAAAATGTTGCTAAAGAGCTTCAGTAATCATGTAAGAAGTATTGGCGTGTTTTTTTGAAATATTGTTTTTTTTGGATACATTGTCGTATTTTGACCAAATTTCTTTTGAATAATGTTCGTTCTAGGAAGCTATGGTTTCTTCTATTCAATAGATAGATGTTTTCTCTTTCGGATGAGGGGAGACATTTTTTATTTAACATTTCATATCGGAGTAACTATGGGTTTAATAGAAAACTTTATCTGAGATTTTTGGTGTTTAAAAGACTTTGAGACTTCCTAAAATGAAACAAAATAAATCATTACGATTTCTTCTCTTCATCCAAAAAGTAAAGATTTCTCTTTCAAAGAAAATAATTCCTAGTTCTATACCTTGAAATATAGTGAAAAAAAATTTTGGGTCTTGATCTCTATAAAATTTCTGAACGGTGAGATTTGGAGAGGTAACAAAAATTTTGTAAGTATAATTTTATATGCTTTGGATTAGTGGATAGTTCAGGGAGATCTCGTGTATTCTATCCAAAATTGATTTTGGTAGACGAAAGCAACATTAACGAAAACTACGGTGAATTCTGAATGTGCTTTTTCAATCAAGTATTTTTGTAGGGCCTGTTTCCACGAGCAAGATACAGGTTGGATCAGAGTCAAAATGGATGTAGGTATGGATGAGTTTTCTCTTCATTCACATCTTCAAAACTGAATTGTATTTTCGTATTGCCTATGAAGTTTCGAATAATCTTTTTTGATTACAAACGATATTCTATTGAGGCGAATAGATTTGAAGCATCAATACAAAAAGAATGAGTATTCAAAATTGTTTGAAAGCTTATAATATTTTCATATTCTTTTACTAATTTCATGATTCAATATATTTGTTTATTGCAATGTATCATGAAACTTCTTTTCAATCTGAACAGAATTCAATTGGATGCCGATTGATAATTGGATAAATATATTTTCTATATTTTATTAGTCAAGACTAGTATTAACTATATCGCAATAAAATTTCTTTTTTCGTCATATTTCTATTGTCTTGTCATAATCGTATAAGAACTATTCAATGACTTGAACATAGTTTGCATTGTTAATTGTTTCTATATCACATATAGGTTGTTCGTTTTTTTAATTTGATGAAAATAGCCTCAGGATTAATAACACTCAATTCAGTCAAATGAAAATGCTCGTCTAATTTATCTCCAGGTAAAATATTATATTGACTTAGAAGATGTGTCAAACATATTTTGAGTTCCATAATTGCAAAACGCATTCCGACACAGTTTCTTGGACCATTTCCGAAAGCCATCCATGATATCGGATGACGCTTTGTCAAGTGTCTTTCAGGAATAAATTCATTTGGATCTTCAGGACCCCAAAGATCTGGACTAAAATGAATGCTCAATATATCAGCTTGTATGACACTACCTAAATATAAATAATAAAACAAAAAATGAAACAAATATTCTTTCATATTAGAATTATAGTAAACCTTCTTCAATCTGATGACCACATATAGTTGTCGTTTTGTTACATTCTCGTGATGTTGCTTGTATTATAATAGGAAACACGCGAAGTACTTCACGTATAAATATGTCTATATAAGACATATTTGTAACAAGATCGTAATTGTCTTCATAATCTTTTTGACCTAGATGTGTATCGATTTCAGCAATGAGTTTTTCTTGAATATCAGGTTTCTTAGCTAGAATATATGTACAATATGCCAATGTAGTCGATGTTGTTTCATAACCAGCGATCATGAAAATAAGAATATTGCCAGTGATTTCATCGGGATGCAAAATTTTTTGTTCTGTATCTTCTTCCATATTTTCCTATGAAAATTGAATAAAACAATTCTTTTTTTTTTTTTTTGATTTTTCAATTAGTAACACTAGACGAACCAGTTTATCTTTCTCATCGGGTATTTGTGCGTCAATCATAAGTTGTAACAAATCAACATGTTTCTTTTCAGATGCATGTACTTTACGGTAGTCAACTATTTCTTGAGCTCGATTAATAATCCAAAATGGAGCTAATTCTTCCATAAAATAGTTCATAAATGGAATTATCTTGCCAAGTATTCGAATTATTTTTAGTTGACAAAGAAAGAAAATTATAAGAAATGGTTTGAGAAATGGCATCAAATTACTCAATTGAACAATAAATAATTTATCATAATTAATATCTACTACTTTAGCTGATTTTTTCAAGTAAATATTATCAATATTATTTTGCATATCACTTTCAATGCCGAATCCTGCACGCCCTAGAAAATAATTCAAGTCAGTTTTGCAGAAAAAAAGGTACATATATCATTGATCCATTTTTTAATACGAAGAACATTTTTTTTTTGTCTACTCACAAATAATATCCATTGTCATACGTTTGTACATATCATTAATGTTAAACTCTTCATTGTTTTCATTAAGAATCGATAATTTATTCATTAGTATTTCAATACATTGGTTGACAACGGGTAACATAAGTTTCATTTTACCGAGCGAAAATGTTCGATTGACAATATGTCTTTGACGTCGCCATGTAGTTCCTGATGCTCCGAATAGAGTTTCAGGTGTTCCAGCACCCATACGTGCCAAAAATAGTACACGACGTGAATGAAACGAAGAAAATTGTTTGATGAAAACTTCATGAAGAAAATCAACATCAGATACAACATATAAAGGTCGAGTACCCTCATATAATCCATATATCGATCCATATTTACGTGTCCATTCTTGTAATTGTATCGAATATCTTTTCGATGCCCATAATGTTTTCAAATGGCCAAAGAAAAATTGATGTGGAGGTCCTGGTATATTACGAAGCTTAAAATAGTTATAACTATTATTAATTGTCCACAGATATGTTCCTAACAAACATAGAAGACACGCACACAGGCAAGCGGTTAGAATCATGCTTCTCTATAGTTTATAGAATAAAAAGAAATGAAAAGAAACTCCTTCTTTGATAAGGTTATTTTTTCTTCTTTATGAAAAATACCGATATGCATTTATCTTTGAAGAAAAAAAAACATTATCTATCGGACCATTGTCGTACATTTACTAATATGAATCATTGCTAAGTTTCATAGATATTTACAATTATTTGAAAAAGTATCCAGACTCCTAAAAGTTTTTCGTATTTTTCCATTTTGTGGAGTAAAAACGAGAGATAAAACTTTTCTGTTTGTTTACTAGTAGATAATTCTCATTTTATAATAGATTCTCTATGTATATTATCCAATTCGACCTTCATATCGACTTATGAGGAGTATTTTCATGAAAATGTCTGATTTTTTCAATAAATCCGAAGTAATATTCTTCTGTTTTTCGAGTATAGATGTTTGCTTTTCTGACATGAAAAGCATTCCACATGCACGATCTTAGAATGAGCAAATCTAAATTCAGCTATTAAGCATGGTTTCTGAGAAAGACCAATAATTTTCATGAGGTGAACTTCTGCAGAAAGAATCATTCTCGCAAACAAGTTTAGTCTTACGATCTGAGAAGGAACTTATTATCGATTTTTTTCCAACTCTAATTTCCAAATATATCATTAGAAAGTTCATTATAGTCTGCATCAAATCAGGTAGTTTGAGAAACAAGCATCTATGTTTGAATAACAGAAGAGTATTTGTCTGAATGAATTGAATAAAAACAGGCATTTTCATTAAAAAAATTGCCATAATTTCAGTTTTTTGAGTGATTATAAGTATAACTGCTGAATGTAGCATTCTGCGATAGATAGGAGTTAAATCTTTATTCGAGTATTAACTGGTAATTGTTTTCATCAACTCAATTATTCAAGTCAGAAAGTTGCTATTGAATATATTTTATGGTTCTTCAGAAGTAGTTTTTTTTAATGATAACATGTGCATCTCTGTGATTGTCTGAAAATCAACGAGTTTTTGAATGACTTTGTGAAGACTATGTTGGTTCGTCACGTTTGTTTTTTAAATAAATCTGAATTATACATCACTTAGTAATGGATGGCTTCGTTCAAACAGATCACGAAGTGTGTATACCATGATCATCATTTGAAACAAACTTGAGTAGAAGGATACCTAACAAGCATATCTTGGGTATAAAAAATATCTGAAGAATGGTGTGACTGTGGATGTGAAGTTTTCCTACCGAGTCACACTCACCTTCAAATTTGAGAATTCTATATTTATGAGATTCAAATGCAAGTTCGTTCTCAAGTCTGCCTCGACAGTTGCTACTCTCACAGTAACAGTCAATTAAGTCAATATCCGGGTACGTTCATCGCCAAGATGGCCTGAGAAATGTATAGAGCATGCTGCTTGCTGAACCTAAGTAAACGAGAGAAGCATCTCTTAGATTTGGAACGACTGTATAGAGGTATTAAAAAATTTTATTGAGCATATTATGAGTATAGATCGAACCCAAAGAGGTTTAATCAACCAGTTTAGGGTCCAAGCTCGATTCCGAACAAAGTTATTGAACCAGATCCGAGTCGAAACAGAGTTCGAAATGAATACAATAATTTGCGTTTAGCTTTGGGTCGAAAAACTCTTGATCTGATGAATTTTAATATTTCCTCCAGCGTACACCGGCACCTGAACTCGATAAACAGGATATTTTCAGATTCGAATGTGCTGAAGTCCAATTGAATACGGTTCAAGAGGAAATATTCCCACCCGCACATCAGGCTCTCATACTCTATGTACGCGATGGTACAGTGGTGTGACACTGAAGAATGCATGTACAAGGAAGTGTCGTGTCATGATTTATTGTTTTTAAGCTTTACGTTTTCGATATTTTTCGTTTCTATATTTGTCTATCATAAATAGAAAAATAATCAAAATTTAAGAGATTTGTAATTTAGTTAAATAATTGACTAAGCAATTACAAATTCTTAACAATACCAATCTATTTTTTTCATTAACGTCATGAAATACTCATAAGAGTTCTAGTACTAAAAAAGAAATGTCACTTAAATAAATGGAACAACAAAAGATTATTCATTTATTTATACACACGATTTTGGCCACTAAAAAACACGAATACGCTTTTATTTTTAATCGATAGAAACAATTTTAGCTACTATGTACAAGATGTTCCGATTAAAAACATTATTGATCGAAGATATACTGTACATCCAGATTGACGGTATATTAAAGAAAAATCAAATGGATTTTACAATAAGTTGCATTATTTATCGATTAAAGGAAATAAGTTTAAAGAAGACAAAACTCTGGACATCATATATACTATCAATCAAGTCAATATTAATTAGTGGACGTTTTAGTTTTGTTTCTATGTAAAAATAAATAACGAATTTGTCTGTTGATGACCAGATTCAATAGAGACATAATGTTTTTCCATTTGGTTTTTTCTCGTCTACGTATACAAACGATAGCAGAAGGTTGATCATTAAATCCATATAATATCATCATTGCATTCATGCTGATCGATTGTCATCTAGAAGAAATATTTTGTTCAAATGAGAGAAAAAAAACGAGTAAGATGAAATAAAACCTGCTCAGTAGGTTGACATTGTTCTTCAATCATTAAATTTTCTTCATCATGATGTATTAAAAATGAATCATGTTCACAATAAGAAACAATTGTATCCGAATGTTTATTAATTAGATATTGTAAAACTTTATCTTGGACTAGATTAGCATCGTATTTATCTATTGGATCATGATGCATATCAAAATCATATTCATAAAGTTGAGCAAGTTCATCATAAGTGAAATGACGAGCAAGTTGTTTAGCATCAACTACACCTACAATGAAATTGAGAAAAATTAGTTTTAGAATAAAATATAAAAGTTAACTAACGGTGGAACATGGCTTGTTTGGTTATTTGTCGTTTATAAATTTTTTCTTCCATTGTACCTTTGACAATTAGACCTAATTAAATAAACAACGACATATTTATTTTATTGTCTTTGATTTTTATGAACGGTCTAAACTTTGCTAAAATAACAATATTTGTCATGGATCAATTTTTCGTGACCCGACTCGACCCGAGGTCGAAGGTATTTTTTATCAAGAAAAACGAGTTCTTTTTTTTTACAGATTAACAATCTTTTCAGTGTATCTGTACAAACGCTTTCAATATTCAAAACAAAGAAATCATTACCTCATCTCAATTTGCCGTTTGTTTCATAAAAAGTTCGAAATCAGTCAACTGTTAGCGACCCGATCCGACCCGAGTCGAATACTGTAATATAAAACTTTCGTCAACAATGCAAATTTTATTGATGAAAATTGTAAAAGCTTGTTTTTAATAAAAATAAATAAAATACTTACGATAGATATAGACGGGCTTTACTTGACCAAGACGATATGAACGAAACATAGCTTGAAGATCATGAGCTAAATATGAAGTTAAACATAGAGATTTGAATATTTTTTTTTTGTTTTAATTTTATCTAACACATACCTGGATTCCAACTAGTATCCAAGATAATAACACGATTAGCAGAAAAAAGATTTATTCCTAAACCACCAGCAGTTGTTGAGATTAAAAATAGACGACTACGCGTATTATTAGCATCATTGAATAATTTTATGTTAGCTGCCCTATGTTTTATAGCAACTTGACCTAAAAAGAAAAAAACAAATTTCATGTTCGTTTTACTAATAGATTTGATGAAAATAACCATCTATTCGAAAGTAATCAATATCTTTTTGCCATTTGGACGATGAAGATTGTTCACTCCAATAAGCAAGACATTGTTCAAGATAATCAAGAGCAATTAAACTTCGAGTAAAAACAAGTAATTTGTCACCAATTGATTCACATTCATCCAAAATTGCTTTCAATATAACAATTTTTCCCGATAATTGAAACTATAAATAATAATAATAATAACAAAACTAAACAAATCAAATATATTTTTTTTCATTATGTTAAATTTACATCGAATTGCGAATTGCTTGGATCGAACATGTTGAACCACCATTGTTGTTTTATCGCATTGGATAGATTTTCTTGATAATTTTGATTGAGTATGTTTGTATGTGGTAAGGATAATATATTTTGTGTCGATGATATTTCATTTATTCGATCATCTTCATCATCAGAATCATCATCATCATCATCGAAAATGTGTTCAACGGGAGTTTGTTTTCCATTTTTTGTTTTTTTATTATAATATCCAGTGAAGTAAGGTTGAAGAAGCCATGGATGCTATTTATAAATAAACAAAAAAAGAATTTCAATAATAATTATTAAGAAGAGAAAAAAAGAATTTCAACGAACTGTCCAAATCTTCATCAAATATTGATAATCACTAAACAATTTAGCCACTTCTATATATAACATTAAAAAAAATAAAAATTTATATTTATTTAACTATATAAGATATTTACTAAGATTATCATTGAAAGAATTCATTCGATGATAATTTATATATGTTTCATAAAGTGTTCGTTGCGTTGGTCGACATTTTATTTTAACAGCTTGAAAAATAAATAAATATTTTTATTTGAAAAAAAAAATTCAATTATTTTTTATTACCATATTCAAACTTTGGTGGTAAGTATGTACGTAAAACTTCAAAACCTCGTCGATGTATGATATTCTTTAAAAGTGTATTAAGATCAGACACTCGACTTCGCATTGTTTTAACTTGATATGGTAAACTATCTCGGTGTTGACCAGCTTCGATCGGTTTACGAAATAGATAAGAAAACTCACGTTCTGTACCTTAAATAGAAATTTCTTTAGTAATTTTGATTCTATTCAATAAATAATTAAACTTACCAAGAAAATTTGGTTTACAAAAATTAACCATAGAAAAATATTCTTTCAAATTATTTTGCATTGGTGTACCTGTTAAAACAATACGACGACGTGTTCGTACTTTAGCCAATGTACAAGCAATGGCACTTCGTGGATTTTTACTAAAATTAATAATAAAAAAAGAAATAAAATAAAATAATAAAAGAAATTTTTGATAAAACTTACATGATATGTCCTTCATCACAAATGATTAGATCAGGACCTGGATTACGTAGATATTTTCCTTGAAAGAAAAAGATAAATAAAATAATTATTTTGCTATTAAATAAATAATTCTATACTATATTTATCAATATTTATTTGTTCAATCAATGATGGTATTTTCTTATCCTGTTTTAAAATATTTCTAATTTGATCATCAGGCTTATCATCACTTGTAAAAGTTAATTGACGATACATTTCATAACCCATTAATAGAACTCCACCATTTTCATACCACTAACAAAAAAATTTAAAAAAATCTATTTAATAAATAATAAATAATGATAAATAAACACTAACGAAACGAAGGAAATCTTCTCGTTTTTCTGTTCGAATATCATCATTATTGAATAAATACACATTTATAGTTGGCTCAAGATCCTTTAACCAATCATGAAATTCATGTTTCCAACTAGATGAAAGTATTTCAATTGAAAATAGATTTTCTTTTTTTTTTAAAATAAAACGAGGTTAATCATACTTAATACTAGTGTTAATTGGACATAAAATAAGTATTCGACGAACATGTGTCAAAGTGGAATATCGTAAAAGTGTATGAACAAGTACAATAGTAGTAAATGTCTTTCCTAAACCCATACAATGAGCTAGAATAGCACCTGAACCACCTTGATCAATTTGAGTTCGATTATCAATACTAGATGCAATTCGACTTGTTGATTCAAATACTTGATTCCATAAAAATTTAACACCCTCAACTAAATCCGATAATGATTATTAGGAAAACTTCAGATCAGATATTGATTTATTACTTTGATGAGGTTTCATATGAATAACAAGTAATAAAGCTACTTCAATAATAATATCATTTGTTTCTGGATTTGTTTCAAGAACTAATTCAAATTCCATGCTTTGTTCTTGTCGATAAGCATCAAGTAAATCACCATTATACAACTGTTGTTTTTGAGCACGTTCAATACGAGCCAGTTCTTCACGATCTTGTTGCAACTTTATACGTTGATCACGTTCTATTTGTTCTTTTACTACTTGTTTCGATTTTCTATCCCAATATTCATTGAGAATTTTTTCTAAATAGGAAAAAACAATGATATATATATATATATGGCAGCGTTCAAACTGAGATTACGTCCAATCTCAGATTGGTCTAGGCGAATGTCGGATCCAGGCTTTCTGATTAGGGAGAATAGGGGGCGGGAAGGCTATCCCCCCAAATTGTCTATCTGTCTGCGAAAATTTTTAATACTGTCTGCCAAATTTTCACGGTTGCTGAGAGAAATGATCGATTGTATGGAAGCGCGAGGCGGGGTAAGGTATGACCTAGTGAAAACTGGTGCCATTTCTCCCCCCCCCCTCGGTCAAGAGTTTTCACTCCAGAAAAATGAGAACATTGTGTGCCAAAATTTTAGCTCCCCCACTCCCCACTCCTAAAAACAATCGATAACCCTGGTCGGATCCGATATTGAACGCGTCCAATCTCGGATTGACGCAATGCTGTTCACTAAAATATCAATTACCCTTTCAATAGATGTTGAATTCGAACTATTTTTTGAAATTGTGTTCGCACAGTGTCGTTTTAAGTATTAAAAGCATTTAGGAAGAAGCTAAATTTAGACTCAAATACTTAATAAAAGTCTTTCACAAAAGCTGTTGTTCTCTAGAAATGTATTCATAACTTCGAAAATTTTACTCAAATCTGTCAAATGACAATTGTGCCAAACAGTGGCGTAGCCAGGAATTTTTGAGTCATAGGCAACTGATCAGCCGAACTATTTTGAGTTACGGGCAGCTAAGAGAAACCGTTATGATTTCAAAAATATCTATGGGCAATAACTTTTAGAGCTATGGGCAATTGCCCAATGACCCTACCCCTAGCTACGCCACTGGTGCCACACAAATTGGCATTGTGCGAACATAACTCAAAAACAACAATTCGAATTCAACGTCTACCTAGAGAGTAATTGATATTTTAGTGAACAGAATTGCGTCCATCCGAGACTGGACGCGTCCAATCTTGGATCTGACATTCACCTAGATCAATCTGAGATTGGACGTAATCTCATTTTGGACGCTGATATATATATATATGTATCTGTATATGGAAAGAATATTTGTACCTTCAAGTGTCCTTTTATAAGATTTTTTCTTCATTCTATTCGTTCGGATGATATTCGACGAATTTCGACTAGACATTTTTCTCGTTTTGGTAACAGGTTCGATTTGTACCCACTGATCGTTATCCACACTATGCGACAACACTATCGTTATAGGTGATCGTGCTTGTTTCATTATTGTATTGTTTTTCGCTGTGGTCGATTGATTAGATAATCTACAAGATATCACTGAACTCAAAACAGTCCTTTAATTTAATCATACACTCAAATAAAAAAACTATGATCTGATTCAAATAACAGATATTCGCTTTTTATTTAATAGTTCGATGTCAGTTTTCGATAAATAAGAGGATGAGATTAAAACTTTTAGTAGTCTTTATGAAGAATAAGGGATCTTCGCTATATATATTACATGATTAGGAATATAACAATTCCAATTCAAATATAAGCATTAGGAAAAAATTGAAGTCTAAGAAACGGAATTGATGCATGTTCATATATAATACATATCTGAGAACCTTTGGAGTTAGATAAAAATGTTTCTTTATTTTTAAAGACCAATTTCATATTAGTGTAAATGAATATAGAATTCAAAATAGTAAACGAATATGTTCAACTATTATTCGTTCATGATCAATCAATGTCTAATTAACTTTTAAATAATATTAATTTATATTGTTATGTTTAAAATAATCATTATGGTTTAAAAGTATACGAGTTGGAATATTTGGTTTAGATTGATAATGAACAAATAAAGGTTGAAAATTTTCAAAAAAGAAAATATACTATAAAAAACTGTATATACTTTGAGGTTAAATATGTTTTCAATTATAGTTAAGAGAAACTTACGAATGATTCAATTGATTTGTTCTAGATATAGTCCGATCGAATTGTTGAGTTTTCATAGAATACATGGGAATCGTTCGATGATTAAGCATCATATTCGTATTATAATCAACTTCGTTCATCTATTAGATATAAATTATCAAAGTTTTAATTATGAAATAAAAAGATAATCTTTAGCTAGTATCACTTAAAAATAAGCTTTATCTTATTTAGCATGATTTTTGAAGAACAGTTAAATTTTATATATGGATTAATAATCGTAGAAGACTATCGACGTGTACTTTATGGCTAATGAACCAGATACGTTACGCCATTGCTAAGCTTTCGATTCCATCGATTTATACTAGACTTCCGATATAGAAAAATTTGACACAGTCAAACTTAAGCGATATTGTATCTAAGAAACAATAGAAAAATGATTTGCTTACGGCCTTTTGAGATCAGCTGATCGTCGTGATTATTTGCGGAAGAATGTATTAAGAATTGTAGTTTAGAATAGCTTTAACTTATATGGAGTCAATGATAAAAATCAAGTTTATGAATTCAAGCAAACAATTTTGGAACGACTATTTATGGTCTTCGAGTATAAAAATGACTGATTTTTTTCTTAATTTGGGTAAAAACAAAAAAATTAGTTTCATGTTGGTAACTTCCAAAATATGCCTCATAGATACGGTAGGAAGAAAAGAAAGAAAAATAAAAATATGTAATAAACTTTGTTTTTTTTTCTGCACATGCTGAGGCAACCTTTAGGAGGACGATGAATCGTTGTATTTATATTAGTCATAGAATAAATAATACCTACTCATGGCTTTAAAATCGTCTAAATTTTTCAAATTAATTATTATTATAGAAAAACCAGAGATTCTTCGAATATTTTCAGAAATTACTATTCCTCGATGATTATTTCAAGACAAGTGATCTATGACGTATTTTGGAAGGTTGAATATAGCTACGGGATGGCTTTCTAGTTAGTATGGAAGGACAGAAAAAAGTCACTTATCCTCATCTGCATCCACACTGTCGTTCACGTTTTTATTTTCGAACAAATTTTGAATTACATATCTTTCTTGCATGTATTTTTACCAATGGAATCTAGTAGAATGTGTTGCAACATCCGTATACATAGATGCGTTTTACGCATAGAAGAATGAGGAGCTGTAAGTTATCGGAAAGATAATAGATTGCAATTGTACCTGATGATTATGTTTGCACAAAACATTTTCTTGAGTTTTATTTCTGTCTCATTTAAGAACATATATAGCTATATGGAACCAATGTTTTACACTAGCTTTTCTTGTTTTTGACATTGAGCTAAGCGAGACTGATGAAGCCTACATATTACTTGTTTTCATTAGAATTCCAAAATTGGCGTAAACTATACATTTTCATTAAGTCTATGAATAGGCAAGCTTCTTCTAAGAGTGAAACATCACAACGTCAATGAATTCGAGAGAACGGGAAAACCGTATTTATTTTGCTTTTTTTTTTCTTTAAAGCTTTCTACTCGTATCTAATACCGTGTGCTTGACTCATACACGATGACATTCTTTTTAATGAATACTTGTTCCTGTACTTCCGAGTGTAAAGGAAGTAGGAAGAAGCTCGAATTATTAAAAAACTATTTTTTGGGTCAGAAATAGCAATCTAATACAATGAATCA